CGAAAGCCAGGTCTTTATTTTTCCACTCGCAAATGGCTTTTTTTTTGTCTCCAGGGCACCTTCCAAGGAGCAGAAATCTGGCAAGTCTTCCTTCTCCAGTGGGCCAAAAAAATCTTGGCAGTCCAAGCCCTCTGAGATGTCTACTCCTGCATGAAGATCCCCCCCCCCGCTTGCTCAGTGCAGGGTGGGGGATGCCTTTGTTTGAAACATGAGCTAGCCAAGGATCCACAAACAGACAGTTGGGTTTGTGAGCTCATTGTTTCGGGTTACAAAATAGGATTTCTTTCACTCCCTTCAGCCCAGTTCTTTCCTTCCAATCTTCACCTGTCTCCTGCGCGTCTGCATGATCTCTGGTTAGCTGTGCAGGATCTACTTCAGTTAGGGGTGGTTTTTCCGGTTCTTGCGGCAGAAAGATTCCAGGGATTTTATTCAAATCTTTTTACTGTTTCCAAGAATGATGGCTTTAAACTGATTCTGGATCTTGGCGCTCAATGCCTTCATCAGAGTTTGAAAGTTCAAGATGGAGACCATATGTTCAGTGGTGGCTTCTCTCCACCAGGGGGGTTTTCTAATGTCGACCAACATAAAGGATGCATATCTGCATGTTCCAATTTGCCCTGCACACCAGCACTTCTTGCATTTTGTGGTGGAGGAAGACCATTTCCAGTTTGTAGCCCTCCAGTTCTGCCTGGCCTCGGCCCCCTTAAGTTTTTACAAAGTTCAGCCCAAGTTCTTGCCTTATTGCGACAACAGGGGATTTCAATCATGGCTTATCTGGACAACTTCCCCCTCCAGACAGAGTCCTATTTGGACCTGAATGACAATCTGTCTATTACCATGCACACTCTGGAGGTGTTCGGCTGGGTTCTGAAGCTTAAAAAGTCTTCTCTGGTGCCACCCCTTCAGTATCTGAGCTGGATTCTAGACACCGATCAGTCCAAGGTGTTCTTTTCCTCCGGGGGAAGTGTCGGAAGCTCTGAGCCCAGGTTCACCTGTTGTGTTCATGCAGTCGGGCATCAATTCGTACTTGCTGGACAGACAGATACAGGTGAGTCGGTCGGTCAAAGTCTCTCTGGTGTAATGGCTTCGCTCTCTGATGCTGTCGAGCAGGACGTAGTTTCTCCCGGTGCACTGGAAGATTGTGATGCCTGAGTGGCTGAGGTGGAGTGACTGGACAGCAGTCAGCACAAGGCCGTTGGACCATGGAGGAGTCTGGTTGACCGATCAATGTCTGGAGTTACGAGTGATCAGGCTTTGTCTTCTTCGATGGGTGGGTCTTCTATGCGGGCAGTCAGTCAATACCACGGCCGTGGCATATGACAATCACCAGGTGGGCACAAGTAGTCTGGCTGCAGTGCTTGAGGTTTCTCATATACTCACTTGGGCAAAAAGTCATGTTCCTGCTCTGTCTGCAGTTTACATTCCAGTAGTAGACAGGGTTCTTCATCCGGAGATATTTCAGCAGATTTGCCAAGGTGGGGGACTCTGGATGTAGACCTACTGGATTCTCATCTGAATCAAAAGCGGTTTGTGTCCAGGGCTCCGGATCCTTCAGCGGATGCTCTGGTGCCGTCGTGCGACAGGTGCAAATCTAATTTATTCGTTCCCTCGTCTGAAGCTTCTCCCAAGGCTTTTACTTCATGTGGAGATGGATATCCTAGTTTTTCTGGGGTCACTTGGAAGGCTTATATCTCGTGGTGCAGGTCATGTCATGTGTCTTCGTGTGCCTTTTCTCTGGATAGGATCTTGGGAATGGATCAACGACTGGCTCTTAGTACTGTCAAGGGTCAGATTTCGGCACTGGGGGTGTTTTTCTAGCATCCACAGGCTTCACACTCCCTTGATCCTGGGGCTGTTGCATATGTCTCCTCCTGTTAAATTCACCATTGTGTCCGTGGGACTTCATTTTGGTGCTGTTTTACTAAGACCTCCCTTTTAAAAATGTTTAACGAGATGTTCCTATTAATCTTGTCTCAGAAGGTGGCTTTCTTGGTGGTTATGTCTGCCCCGAGGGTTTTCAGAATTCACTGCTTTGTCTTGTAAGCCCCGTTTTTTATATTACATAGGGACAAGGTTGTTCTTTGACCACATCCTTGCTTTCTTCCTAAGGTGGTGTCTGCATTTCACCTGAATGAGGATATTGTCCTTCCTTTCCTTTGTCCTCGTCTGATGCATCCTAAAATTATGGTCTTCCATTGCTTGAATGTGGTTAAGGCGTCTGCCACAGAATCCTTCTGTAAGACTAACTCCTTTTTTGTTTTCACTGAGGGTCCCCGAAAGGCCACCATTTCCAGATGAATCAGGCAGGTTATTGTTCAGGCTTACGCTCTCTGGCCACCTTTTCTGGTTATGGCCCATTCTGCTTGAGTGGGTAGCATGTCATGTGCTTTTCGGCAGCATGGATCTGTTGTGCAGGTTTGTAGGGTCATCGGTCAACACCTTCTTCTGCTTAGTCTGTGTGGGTACCTTTTTTTTTTTTTCTTGTTTTGTTTGGTTTCCCACTCCTCGGTTCACAATGCTTTGGGAAGTCCCTTCCATAAGATAAAGATGTCAACGGTGTTCTTCAATGAACAGAAGAAAAAGTAGGATATTTTTGTACTTGCCGTAAAATCCTTTTCTCTGCATTAATTGAAGGACACAACCCCTCCCATGTAAACTTTGCCTATGCCTTTTTATTTTTACTGCTTTGTAAATAACGGAGCTACCGCTAGCAAATGGGGGGGTTGAGCCACCAGTAGGGGCCACCCCCAGGGCGGTGCTTTGTTGTTTCTGCCTAGCATTCTACCCCTGCAGGTGGCGGTATAACCCTTCCAAAAGATGTCAGCTGTTACCTTCAATGTAGCAAAGAAAATAATTTTACGGTGAGTACAAAAAAATCCAATTTTCCTCACATTTCCCCTCAGGCCACCTGAGATAGAGGGCATTCTGGTGATCCTCATTGCTCTTAACTGGCCCAGGAGGACATGGTACTCATAGCAGACTCTTTGTCCCTTCGGGTTCATCCTGCCCTTCTGTCCCAAGGGCCGGTCCACCATACTGCTTCTTGGTTGCTGGCTTTAATGACATAGCTGTTGAAGTCCAGGTCTTGAGACGGAGGACTATGGAATTTGATCATACCTCTACTCCTAAAGGTTAGGAAGTTGACTTCTCACAAAGTCTACAATCGCACCTGGAGGACCTGCTTTGTTTGGTGCGATGCTAGGAAATTCCATCCTAGAAAGTACTCCGTGGGATGCAACCTGTATTTCCTCTAGTCTAGTCTGGACCAGCATCATCTGGCTTTGAGTATCATCAAGAAATTCTGGCGCTGGCCTCAGTTTCAGAGACTGTTGACCTCTCATTTAAGGCCTTAACTTAAAGCAGACCTTTACATTTAAAAATTAAATTCTACCAATGCATCCCTCTATGTATTAAGATTAACTAGAAGTATGTGTTTGTAGATTGTCATTACTATACATTTCTAAAGGTGTGTTTGTTATTGTTTTAAAGATATGGGTAAAGGTCCGCTTTAAGGCTTTTGTATGTTCCACAGTGACACCATGTATGTTCCACAGTGACACCATGGGATCTTAACATCGTTCTTTCTGTGCTTTGGAGGCCAACCTTCACACCTACTAGGGATATTCCCTTATCCAACCTCAATGGCAAGGTGACCTTTCGCATTGCTTTCACCTCAGCAAGGAGAATCTCTGCGTTAGCAGCCTTATTCTGTAAAGAGCCTTTCCTTGTGTTACAAGGATAGAGTTGTTCTGAAGGCCCAGATCTCCTTTCTCGCCAAGGTAGTTACCTCCTTCCACCATAACCAGGACATTGTTGTTGCCGCCTTAAGTCCTGCTCCTTAACATCCTCTAGAAATGTCTCTCCATTGTCTAGATGTGGTTCTTTCTGTGACAGTTTACCTCTCTGCTACAGCCTCTTTTTGGCAATCGGATTCTTTCTTTGTTCTTCCTGAAGATTGCTGTGGTGGACTCCCTGCCTTTCGCTGTAGCATTGCTAGGTGGATTAGACAGGTCATCATTCAAACCTATATTCTGAAAGTTACAGCTTTACCCTGTCCTGTTACGGTGCATTCTGCTAGATCTGTTAGTGCTTGGGCTTTTTAGCATCGGGCATCGGGTTACCAGATTTGCAAGTTACTTCAAGCTGCTCCCTGAGTTCTGTTGAGCCCTTCCTTGGCTAGTTTTTAAGTTGGCCTGTTAGCTTTTGTTGGTTTTGTTTAACTGCTTTTGGATGTCCCAGAGTTAAAACCACAGGGTGTGTGTCCTGTATAATTTTACTTACCTGTAAAATCCTTTTCTTGGAGTACAGTACAGGACACAGGTCCATCTTCTCTGTTTCTTATGATCTCCCTATGGCTTGCTACAAAAACTGTGGTTTGCAGGTATTAGGGGGGTTATATAAGGGATGTGTAGTTATTTCTATTTTTCAATGTCCAGTCACCGGCTGTAGATCCCATGTCCTGTTTGTGTGGCACTGGCTTCACACTGGCTGGGATATGTGATGTAATGGAGGGGGAAAGAGGCTGCACAGACTGATCTAGCAGCCAGGCGGGACTGAGGATCAGATGAGTATATCTTTGTTACTTTAGCTCTCTAGTCAAAAGGTAATCCTTGATGTGCAGGAGGTAACCTCACTGCAAGGGTTAACTTTTCCAATTCCTGGAGTTCCTCTTTAAAAACCTTCTAACTTCAAGTTCGTTCAGATTAATACGAGTAGGCTAGAAAAAAAATAGAAGAAAAAAACTAATTCAATGTGGAAACAAATATTCAGTTTTAAATTTGACCATAGATACACTTTAAATAAAACATAAAATAAATTATAAAAATACATGTTTTGTTAAAAAATAGAATCTAAAGTGAATCTACATATTAGAGTCTAGGTAGTTTTTCTTTCTTTTTATGTGCATTAAAGTATATTTACACGCAGAATAAACCTTCAAAATGAATCTGACTTATTACTAAGCCCACTTCTAGCTAATTTCTAATCCTTAATCACTTTAGGTGCAAGAAGGTGGTAATTTAAATGCAGAAAATGTTGCTCTTGTCCAACTTGCCAACCCTCCATTAGAAAATGTGGTCATTGGTGAAAATCCTGAGATACTAGAGGAACAGGCGAATGAAGATGAAGAAAATGATGAAGATGATGCAGTAATGGAGGATGCAGCTGATGGAAACAATGGGGTGCAAGGTATTTATATACTGTGTATTAAAAAGCACCTAGCTATAAATGTAACTACAGTATACATTATTGCAATAATTGCATTAGGTTATTTGCACACTTTCTAAAATATTGCTGCCATTTGAACACTTTGTGTCTTTACAACAATACATATGTTCAGAATTCTATTTTTCTCCTAGCATTCAGTGGAGGACACAAAAAACCTCTGGTATATATTCTGCCCCTAATAAGTTGGACACTAGGCAAATAAGAAGGCACAGCTGCTTCTGGTGTCTGTGTCTTCTCACATACCAAGTAAGCCTAGTTAAACTTTGTGTCTTTAGGAGTTAGGACATCACTCAAGCTATGCTGAAACAAGACAATAAGTAAAGATTTCCCTAATCATCTTCCAGGACAGCAGCATGCGAGAGGGAGAGAGAGTCTGGCTCCACCCTTAAACAGAAAACACAAGGCTCACATATTATAAGAGAAAGTTACAGACCTGCCTGCCTCAGTTCTTTGTGTTTCCTTGGCCTAATAGTACCAACTTTGTAAGTACTGCCTTCCTTATAGGCCGGCTCGGTTACACCCCCTAGGGGACTGACAAAAAGATGCTGCAGAGGTAGCAAGAGGAGGCTCTTGTTTTAACATCAAAACGTGGGACTCTTGCACCATCAAGCAGCTCATAACATCAAAGCTCCAAAAAGAGTTCCCCTTTAACCCCTTCATGACTGAGGCCTTTTTTTCTATATTTTCTGAATGCCAAGACCCTATAGAATAAAATGGTGGTAGTTGCAAATTTTTATGTTGCGCAATATTAGCGCAACTCCTTATTAAACCAGCAGTCACGAAGGGGTTAAAATCAAGAAAGAATTTGTGCAAGCCTTACTTGGAGACAGTGCCATTCAGACAAATCTTCTGTTTATTGAACTGGACTCTGTCAGATATTATAAACCCTGAACTTAAGTACTCTTTTTATTCCTTTTTCTTTTTACTGTTATTTCTGCCTCTCTTTAATAAGATATTTTTCTGTATATTTTCCCTGCACTGTTTCTTTTATTGAAGGGCAATCTTAAAAATGTTGAAGCTTTTCTCTACACGCTGAATAAGAACTCAATATCCTTGTCTCTGTGAAGAGCGCTACTGTATAGTGAAACCTGGCATATTCCTATTGGAAAGAACAGTGGTATAGGATTTGTTAAAGTTTTTTGAATTGTCACAGCACTTACTGAAAATGGTTTGTATTTTCTGTTAAAACATGTGGTGGCAGCTAAGGTTTGGTGTGTAAAGCGTTAACTGCGGAGTTAACCAATCCTCTGTCTGCTGGCCTGAGATTGTGTTCCCGTTAGCTGGGACATCTCTGTGCAGGGTGAGGCTGAGAGTGGTATCGCCACGCCCTTGTGAAGGCTGCTCGGTTTAGAACTGCGTATAGTCACCCCTGGCACTGGTCATCTGCCTCTCTGCACCCTCTCTATGTGTGCATGATGAGACCCCTGGGCTAGCCCACCCCAGGCACCAGCAGGGGACCCGAAACATGTTCGGTTTTCTCCCTCCGCCACATGGGCAGGATATGAATGCACAGAAACCAGAAAAACATGCACACATTTTAATTGACCATTTCTTGTAGACACACTTTGCAGTGACTAAACAACATATACAGAGAGGCTGTGCCAGGCAACAGAGAACACTAAGCATCTGCTGTGGCAGATCACTTCCTCACAGTCTCCAAGGAAGTGGAAGTGTCAGTTTGTTTGCATTCCACTTAACATGTGTTATTTGGGTTCTGGGTCTTAGAAATTAGTTCTTGCAGCATTGGGCTCTGGGCTCTTTATTAACTGATATACTTAAAACTTGCTGGAGGAGTAATGGCTGTCCTGGTACTATGTTTCAGCCAGACAAGATCCCTGTTCATCCTCCTAATAGATCCAGGAATAAAAAATGGCAAAATAATCTACAGGCCCTTTCAAAGTTTTATTTTAATTCTATGAGAACAGAGATGTCTTCCATGTTAGTCATGTAGGATGTTACTACAAGACTTTTGTAGACAGTTCTCTTCTTTGTCTGCGGTGCCATAAAAACCCTAAGTCTTCCCCTATTCACGAAGGAAGCTCGATTACTGAAATCTCTAGGGAGACCTTAGAGTCATTTAGTACATGTGAAGGAGAATGACCCTTAGCAGAGAATGTATCAGAAGGTAGAGCTCAAAAGTATTTACTTATGACAAAATGGAAGAGCTCCTCAAAGCAATTAATGCAACTCTGGCCATCAAGAAGAGCATTAAGCTACTATCCTGAGGGCTGCAGAAAATGTATTAAGGTATTAAGTTGGCGTATAAGAAAAAAAGATTTCCAAAAGAGAAAACAACAAGGCAAGAAGCCCGGGCATTCAAAAACATAATGGTACAAACGTTTTTTTTAATTGAATCCTCCAGAACCCTAAGCCCCTATGACTCGTTCCTACTTGTCGGGGAAGGGGGGAGGGGGGCTAGGGGACTTTCACAATGGTAGCAACTTACTGAGAACCCTTATCTCTTCCCCTTCTGAGATACAAAGCAAAGATGGATGCTTTTTCCCTCCTTTCTATAATAGCTTAAGGCACATACAGTCGTTCGCCTAGCTCCTAGTTGACTGCCAGGTTAAAACATTCAGAAAGGGGTCCATTTTCTCCCTAAGAAACCTGTTGATAAAGGATTGGTTAATGCTCATAATAGCTCTGATAGATACTTTACCCTGTCCCAATTTGGGTATCCTTGCAGAAATACCTGAGGTTTGCTGTGAGGAACTTTTAGAGAACTATACAGTGGGAGTTTTGCGCACCTTTCTTTTGGTCTCATCAGCCCCATGCATCTTCACAAAAGTTACTGTGAAAGCCGCAAGCAGTGATTTCAGCTGTGAGTGTGGAATCATTCAAAAAACGATGGACGATTTCCTCTGGGACCGTAACATACAGGGGTACAGGTACACACGCAATAGGTTGGACTTGATGAACCTGTGTCTTTATTCAACCTCAAATACTATGTTACTATGAAAATATGCCAATGGAAGGTAAATCCATATTGGCTCCAGCTCATGAGGAAGATAAGATATCCGCCAAATTAGGCAATTGTTTTTTATATTAACGCTCCCTCTGCATCTAGAACAGTGTTGGATACAATGAAAGCGTATATACGTGGACTACTTGTTAAAAATATATCTATATTAAAAAAGACATCTAAAAAAAGACATCTAAGGAATGGTGTTGTGATTAAGTGGTATCAAATCTTGGTGAAATATTAAT